TGAAATTCTGAACAGCCACTTCCTCTGCCGACTTCAGCTCCTCCTTCAAAGAGGCAATTCCTCAAACTGGGCCTCCGTCCTCTGCCTCAGCTCAGCTTTCTCTTTATTGGAGGCCTCCAGAGCCTCCGTGGTGAGCCGATGGTGCTCGTTGGCATGGTCCACTCTTCGGGTCATGGTAGCCACTTGGCACTCCACTTCATAGAGTTCCTTCTTCAGCCGCTCTATGTCTCCAGCAGCAGCCTCCAGCTGGGCCTCAGCATCTATCCTCCTCTTCTCCTCCTCCTCCTCCGCAGCCTTGGCCCGGGCTCCCTCACCTTGTCCCCATACTGCATTGCCTCCTCGAGGCGCTTGGCGAGGTCCTCGCTTTAATTTTTTCCCTCACACAGTGGCGAGCATTTAGCGCATCTGCCTATGATCCATGTTTCGGTGAACACAGAAAATCGACCCTCGAGTTCTAACAAATAACGATCCCCATCCCGAGGCGCATATACCCGATCGGGAAGACAAGTCCACCCATGATATAAATATTCATACCTGGACTTGGGGGACCACTGTTACGCCCCGAACTGAACCCACGTCAGGCGAGGTATCTAACTCTCATACGAAGTGGTTCCACTTCAAAAAGTCCACCATCACATTAGCCGATGTGTGGAACGTTCATACGAAGTGGTTCCGAATTGGTCCCCCTAAGTGGTTCCAATTGAGGTGATCTACTATCATACTACGAGGCATAGGTAATTCTGCAAAACTGGCTGAAGCGACCCATCCCCCTGAATCCGAGGCGAAGCGATCCTCGTAGACCTCGGCCTGAAGATCCGTCGCCGATTTCAGGATGAGATCTTTGTCAAGATCTTTTCTGCCCCTAAGGTTTAAAGTGATGTGACGTCTCCATGAGGCTAGTTGATGTGACCTATCAGTTTTATGTCAACTCAACTCAGGAGAAGTAACTTCCTGCCCACTCTACAGACACGGCTGATTGACGCCTATGAGCAGACGCCTCATACCGTTTAGATGTATACACGTGTCTCACATCAACGGCTCTCCTCACCTATAAATACCCAAGGCTTGGCAAGAGGTAAAGGTAATGAAACTCTTCCTATTTAGCACTCCATAGCAAGCAAATATATATTCTTCTCCCCACTATTTTGCACAACCTTGGTACTATTCCAATCACCTGAGCCTAACTTGACCGTTGGAGTGTATATGGTTGCCGCCGCCCCTGCTGGTCCCGACCGTGTGCATCTGACCGTGCGTTGATTGTGCGCAAGGAGGAATACGTGGAGTGGCTATCGATTGGCCACGTAGAGGGTTCGATTTTCGAGGTCAACACACTCATCTCTTTCTGAATGTGAATACCTAAATTTTTGTTCGTGGTCAATTTTTTCCTTGTTTTAAACAGTGGTACATGGCTAACCCTTTTTATGATTGAATTAAGTGATTTCTATCTCATTTATATTAATCTTTTTTTGTGGCTGTACTAATGCAGGTGTAAAATGAACACAATAGATGTGAAAGTTTTCTCGTGTCTCTTATTTTTATTATGTTTTCTCTTGTTATCTCTTTTGTGGATGCCAAGTGCCAACAATATTCCCTTGACCCTCGCTACCTTCATTTAGGATCATGAATAAAATGTGAACTACAAACCGAACAACCCAACCGATCTTGATTGGGTTGGATTTAAATACGTAATTGGGTTCGATTAGGTTAATTTTATATCAAACCGAATATGTTGACTTGGGTTAGGTTTGGGTCGAGTAAAAACCCAACCCAACCCAACCCATGTCCACCCCTTAATAACGTGCAACTAAAAAAAAGAAAGAAAGAAAGAAAAAAAAGAAGAAGATAGAATGAATGTAAGAGAGATGGGTAGTGGGAATTTGCTAGGGTTTAGAGCACATATCTCAAGTGTGAATGACTCACCTATAGATAGAGAGAGGAAAATGGTTCAAGATGGACCATTGAACATATCTGAAAATGTTTAATTTGATCTGACCCAACATATCTGAAAATGATGTACAGTGTTTTAGTTTTAGGTATTGATACAAGAAGGATCATCAACTGAGGTGCGATAATTGAACACAATGGTTTACGGGATTTCCTATTTTCCAAAAGAAGAAAATAGAAAATAAACTCACTAAAAATATGCGTATATGAATGCGACGTCTTGAAAGAGTTGAAAAATTCGTGTGTTTTACACGTGCCTCCTCCCCCACCCACAATTTTATGTTTTAGTTTCGTGTTTCAACTTACAATCAATATGTTGCCTTTGCGCCCTCGTCTACATATATACATATACACATAGATAGACACGATCTCTCTCACCTTTCTCTTTCTCACTTACTGATCATCAGACACATACATACATTTACACACTGTAAGTCTCCATCCTTGTATGCATTGAAGGAAGGTTGGACACGAAGAATAGATGGATGAACTTAAATGAGAAAAAATGCAGAATCAACAGCTAAAAATTTTTGCGATGGAAAAGTTGCTGTTTGTGATGTTACAGAGCTTCAGGTATAATTTTCAAGTGGTGAAATATCTTTCAAATTGTTCTTCATAATTCATGAAAAAAAGGAAGGATTATAGATTATATATACTAAATATTTTACCAATCTTAACCATGCCTATATTGATGCAATATTGCTGGTTTTGAATATTAGTATCATGCATTTATTTTTGTCTATGCGGGCTAGAGTCATAATATTGCTGGCAACAGAGAAATGCATGAGGAACACCAAACCGGGTTTAAATCCATCAATCGCCATTGAATATGAAGAAATCGGTGCTTAGTTTCCTTCAGAAGAGAGAGAGACTCGGATTCAATCATCATCTTTAGTTCTCCAATCATGGAATTGATCTACTCCTTTTTCTCTTTACTGTTGGAAGAGAAGAAATTAAGGATTCAATTATTTGCTTTCCAGAATAAATTAATTTCTTCTTATACCATAGAATGATGATATTGTAGATTAGGAAGTGTTACATGTACATAATTGTCTACATAATGGTGTCCATAATTATACGTGACACTGAATTCAACATTTAATTTGAATCTCACACTTGCACATCAACAGCCGGATAATTGCCACATCACATTATGGACACCATTATGTGCAATAATTATGTATAAGTAGAATTTTTCATTGTGGATTATGGTGAAGTATAAAGAAGATAGTCTATGTTGTTAGTGGAATCGGATTAGCAATGAATTGAGCAACAACGATTTAGTTTGTTGTATTTTATAAGATTACCTGTTTGAGCCCATTATTTTTATTGAAGACTGTGAAGTAAAAAATAAAAGAGAGAAAAATGAATTTTTGAAAATAATAAGGACGAAATAACAGCTCAAAATTGCTCATCGTGGCAATTGCAAGTATGCCTTATTTTTTTGTATGTAATATACAAAACTCCAATTAAAAAATTTGCACTAACAATCTTCAAATTATTGTTCAAGTGGCAAGTTGTTATAAGAATAAGTTTCACTTCAAATGTTTAAGTACCACATAAGGTGAGAAATAAATTTAACTTTAGAAAACTGGAGATGTGAATGTAATTAAATTTTAAGGATAGACTTGCTCATTTCTAACGAATGGAGACTCAGTTGTGCAAATTTATTTCTATATCTGCTTTTTGTTTATTGCGCTTTTTTCCACTCATTTCATTGGGAAGTGTAATCTGACGCCAGCACTCAGCACCAAAATTCAAAGAAAAAAATCCAATTTTTCAGAGAAAAAAACAATATCTACAAATTTTACCTATATCGACTGTCAAATTAGAACCTTTGAGGACGAGGGAAAGAATTCAAATTTATTTGTACACGATAAAGATCTGATTTTTCTGCTTAATCATAAGAAATTGGTCCCGTTTCATGATCAATTAGTATTGAATTTTTGTGGGTTGAGATAATTTCATGGCGACCAAAATGTATTTGTTGAGCAGAATTTGGAGGGGAAAAAATGTTAGGAACTTTAGCGCAATCCCAGAAGGCAGCAGCGCCTCTTCACCTTCTCACCAACTCATCAATTTGGAATACCAGTGCAGTGCCCACAAGTAATTTGAATCTCGCCATTCCTCCTGTGTGTATAATATGGTTATATTTGTATTTATATGTGTAAAATATTGCGTGTTTATTGTTTTGGTGCTAGCATATGTATTGCTTTTTTATCATCCGTTCAATGTTTTGCTTGCTAGGTTTTGTTTTTAGCTCGTAGGTTCCAAGATGGTCTGTGCCTTATCTGTATTGTATGTCAAATTGAACACGAATTCATTATTTGTACTACGTCATGTAATGCCTCAGGAAAGAAAAATAATTATGGGGAAAAAATAATAGAAAGAGAAGAGAAGAGAAGAGAAGAGAAGAAATTCTGAAATAGATGTATGAAAAGAGGATATGTATCTTGAGTTTTCTTTCCAGGCGGGGGTAAAAATTTTGGCTTTTTTCTTCCTAACCCTCTAAGGGGGTCTAGACTGTTCGGAGTAGTGATTGAGTTGTTCCAGGTTATCTGCAGTGAAAGTCTGGATTGCCTTAGGACAGACTTTCCAGACTAGAGTCGCAGAGCCTCAAAAGTGGACTCCAAGCAGCAGCGTCAGAGAAGGATGCAAGCAGGGACACACAGCAGCAAATAACTCAACGCAACTCATGGCAGCATAGTTAAACCAGAGAACAAAGAAGAGTAGCAGATTCATGAGATCGAACCTATCCAATTTTTACAGTACGATGGTTGGCTATTCACGGCCTAGCTATACCTACCATAGTCATTCATCTTGCGTTGGTCTCCACCCTTTTCAAATGGACGAAAGCCCGATCCAGCAGAGACCTTCCCCTTTTTCTTTTTCTTTTTTTTAAAAAGGTCTGTCCTTCTGCCCTACCGCCGTGACGAGGAAGACCATGCCAGGGGAAATACCAATCGAAGTGAAAAACAGAGGCTTCGAAACTGCACACCTCTGGAGAAGAAATCAATCGAAAATTTTTCGATGTTTAATATCTGTATCCAAAAATTCAAGACAAAATAACTTCTTAATTGATTTCCAATCAAAAACATTTAGAATCTTGCAAATATAAAGATTGGCAGAATAGTGAATCCTCCATCAATATGTCATTACAATTGCATATGGGGAAAGTTTCAATTGCTCTTCACTAAAGAGTGAATGTGACACTTCGAGCTGATGTCACACTCAAGTACTTCGTACTGATCTCATCTAGGTGTGTTGATTGATAAGGGCAAAGGATGAAAACGGAGAGGGACAGCATTCAGTGGCTTACAACTAGTCTTTTTTAGGAAACAAAGCTCCTTGAAAGCAGCATAGTACGAACAGTTCTACTTCATTCTTGAACAAAAAGATCCCTATGTGACCTAGGTATGAGGGCAGAAGCGCCCAACCAAGCGCTTTAGTTGATATTGTGCACAAAGCAAAAATATCCGGCATACAAGCTTTGTCAGACAGTATTCCAGTAAATACATTTTGGGTTCCATTGTTGAGCTTTTTCCTGGTCATTTTGCATATCCGGTCATTTTTACCTAAGAAGCTCAAATATGCACGATAGAGAATCATGTATGCATAATATTTTTCTTCTTCCCTGAAAAATATGTATTCCATGGTATTTGATTTTAATCGAAAAGTTTTATTTTAACTAAATATCCTACATTAAGTTCGCTACAAGCAGTTTAGTTCTTTTATTGCTTCTTGGGATGTAATGGATATTTTCAGCACAGAAAGGACGAATGTTTTATAGACTTGGAAAATCATAAGAAAAAAGCATGCATTGACAGAAATCAAGAATGAGATTGTTAAAAACACGAAAGCTTTCCCTGCTCTTTGATGGACTATTCTGAGAGTGGTATTATATGCATACACTTTGTATTATTTTTACTTGTTCTCTGGCTGCTTCTTAAATATGGATTCTCATATAATTTGTCTAAGATGATTGTCATTGCCAGTAATTTTAAACTAATTCGAACCCTGTCACTACTTTCTTTAATGGAATCTACAAATACCTGGAAGGAAAAAACCAAGATTCCTGATTTATATAAGCTATTATTGACAATTTGATATCTCGTTATTACAAAGCTCTGGGAGTTGTTTTATTACAATAGTAATGATTACAAGAACAGGGTTGTGCTTGCACTTCAATAGGTTCGATTTTTGGTCATTGATTCTATAATTCAATACGCTTTTGGTTATGTTGCAGTTACCACCCTATTCCTGTAGTTTTTTCTCAAGCAAAAGGATCATCTATCTGGGATCCAGAAGGCAAAAAGTATATAGACTTCCTCTCAGCTTATTCTGCTGTTAATCAGGTAGGAAGGAGGAACATTGTGGGGTGTCTTAATTTGATTCACTCATTTACGCCTTATTATATTAACCATTTCTGTATCCCCTTCTAGTGTAAAGACTTGACTGCATGAATCTGATTCTCCAACCTTTTTTTTTTTTTTTTTTTTTTTTTAAGCCTTCTGTTCAAAGGCTTAGACGTGGTCCTTTTATTTTACCAGTTTTTGTTCATGTTTTAGCTCATAGAATGCAGATTTTAACTGGTTTGTCTCATCATGGAGGCAGAGAAGGGATCACTTGTATTTTACTTTATTGTGTGATAGGTTTATTAGTAGTTTCTATTTTGAACCAAAGCACAGCAAACATTTAGACTCAATCTCTTGCTGCAGGGGCATTGTCATCCAAAGATAATGAAAGCATTGGTAGAACAGGCTGAAAGACTCACTCTCAGCTCGAGAGCCTTCTATAATGACAGATTTCCAGTATTTGCAGAGCGTCTGACCAGCATGTTTCGCTATGATATGGTGCTGCCAATGAATACAGGTGCTGAAGGGGTAGAAACAGCATTGAAGTTGGCGAGGAAATGGGGTTACATGAAGAAAGGAATTCCAAGAGATGAGGTATCAAACTTTAGTTTTCATTGTAGAGCATGATGCTTGGCCAAATTAAACTTTAGTTTGTTTCTTTTTCTGTTCAGCATAAACATATGATGTAGTATAATACAGAAACTGCTTGGTTTCTGGCCACTAGATTTGTTGGTCTCTGGTCCTAGCTTGTGAAGGATTTGTAGTGTAAATACTAGTGTATTCATGATTGGTTGAGTAATAAATAAAACAAAATTTCCTTTTTTTTTTTTTTTTTGCTGCTTTTATTTGAGATTTAGTTGTTACTGTTACTATTGTTATAATACTTATCTGGCTTTAAAAAAACAAAAAAGAAGGGTTGGGGGAGGAGGGGGGAGTAGCATTGTTCAACTACTTTCCATTCTCTTATGAAGCATAGATAACAAGAAATGTTGCTCGGATATGTTCTGAGTGAGCTTTTGAAAACTAAAAGGCAACATGCACATGACAAAGATTGCCGTCGGAGGAGATTATAAAAATAAAATATATGATTGCACATTTCAACAAGAGAATAACTGATAGTACTGAAAATTATGTCACTTGCAGGCTATAATTGTTTCCTGCTGTGGCTGCTTTCATGGTCGGACACTGGCTGCTATCTCAATGAGCTGTGACAATGAAGCAACCAATGGTTTTTGGCCCTTGTTGCCAGGTCATCTGAAAGTTGATTTCGGTGATGAAGTTGCCCTTGAGAAAACGTTTAAAGGTTTGTGAACTGAAGTTTTCTTATGATAGTGGTGTTTTGCTTACACATTTGGTCAGCTGTGGTTCAGATTAAAAACCTTGATCGTCCATAATTTTGCAATTCACTAGGATCACCATAAATTTGATAATTTCTACTGTACATATTGGGACTTATTTATTTTATTTATTTCAGAGAAAGGAGATCGGATAGCTGGTTTTCTGTTTGAGCCGATTCAAGGGGAGGCAGGGGTACGTATGTTCCACATTGAAATGATTGTTGCAGAAGAGTGTGTGTACATTTCTCATCTTGGTTCTTATAGTTTGTGATGAGTCATAAACAAATTAAATCACACGAGTATGTGCCTCTAGATGGAGAATAAACTAGCTGATCTGCCTGCTTATACAAACTTGACAAATGACATTTTACAAATATCTTCAATTCACACTAATCATTCCTGGATAGGCCTTAATGTCACGAACAAGTTAAACCCAATCTATATGGTCTACTATGTCATGATGTTTAAGAACCAGTTGAAGGACCTTGTAAGCAGAGTAAAGCAGTAGGATTGGAGCTTTTAAGTGATTTTCCTTCTAAACTATTTCCTTCCATTATGTTATTCAGAGGTTTTATGAGGTTCTACTTGTTGTTAGGTTATTATCCCTCCAGATGGTTATCTGAAGGCAGTCAGAGATCTTTGCTCAAAATATAATATCCTAATGATTGCGGATGAAATACAAAGTGGCTTAGCACGCTCTGGAAGAGTTCTGGCTTGTGATTGGGAAGATGTCCGCCCTGATGTTGTTGTAAGGACTTTTTATTTGATTCTGAAATAGAGAGTTGGATATAAAATGTGTCATATATTTGGTCTGCTTTGAGATAGAAGACCTGATTCTTGAAGCAACTAAATTGACTGACCTACCTGGAGAAAATTACAAGCATGTAAAAATCCATCCATTTTCAGGGGAAAGTTTGGCAGTTCATTCATACCACAGCTTACCACCAAACAGCAGACATTTTCATCCACGTGTAAAAATGTCGAGTAATAGTAGTTTTTTGCATATTTAAGAAAATTAATTAAGTATAATTTAAAAATTCTTGTATTTAATTGGAAAAATGCATATTTTGTTCCCTACGTTAAGCGATGCCCACCGGACTTCGAGAGGAAGAAAAAGATAAATGCAGAATAAAAGAGCCATATAAAAATGGTACTTTTCTCATGTTGGATGCTGAATTGCTAAGTCAGCACTATGAAATATGTGCTCAGCTGGTGGTCCATAATTTTTGTAGCCATAATGTTCATCTTAATGTATGGTCGGGGGAGATCTTTTTCTGGTCGGGTTTTGGCTCCGTGCATTCTCGAAATGTATGTAATAAAATTGAAGTTTATACACCTCCATGCTTCAAAATTATCTCGTGTTGTTGTCTTGTTAAGATACTTGGAAAGGCGTTGGGCGGTGGAGTTTTACCCGTTAGTGCAGTTCTTGCACATAAAGATGTTATGCTCTGCATTCAACCTGGAGAGCATGGAAGGTTAGTGGTTTTAATGCATTTACTATAAAACTATTTCTTCATTAATTTATTTTCCTTTTTTAAAAATTATGTGACCATGTAGCAGCATCAAAATAATGTATAATTGGTGTATTCCTTTGATTTGTTGCTCTGACAATTGAGGTCATTGTATAAGAATGCAGTGCTTTTTCCATTCTGTCGAGAACCTTACAATTTTTTTTAATGCGTTGAAATGGATTTCCTTTCCTGTTCTCAGTATATTCGTTTTTTATGCATCTTTGATCCTGCTTTTGATAATTTACTAGACTTCCATGTTGCAGCTTACGTTACTTCATGATTTTGATTGTCATTTTTCAGCACTTTTGGAGGAAACCCTTTGTCCAGCGCAGTTGCCATTGCATCACTAGATGTGATAAGAGAAGAAAGACTTGCTGAAAGGTACCCAACTTTTAACACTGTTGCATAAAAGTCATCACCCAATAAAGATTTTGAATTTGATTGATTTAGTCATTCAGATTGTATTTATCAGACCCGAGCCACCAGGTCACCCGGTCCATTGATCGGATCAGCGGTTCAATGTTTAAACGGCAGAATTTTAAAAATGATTGATTATACCTTTTAAACGATGTACATTTTTTATTTTTGAAAATAATAAAGACGTTATAAATAGTTTATTGTTCATTACAAAAATAATGAACGCACTCTTTCAATTTTTCATATACATTCTATACACAATTGTTTTTTCTAAGTTATTCCAATAGAAGTTAAAGATTATGCTTTGATATTCGAGATTCTAGAAAATTGGTATTGCATATACAGTTTCAGTTATTTAAACAACCAGTTTCACTAGCCTAGTGGTTTGTGCTCAACGATAATGTTCGGGATCAATTACCCAAAACTCCAAAATTTGGACATTATCGGAAAATCGGCAGGTTCATCAGGCCTGATTCTCTATTAGAACCTACTAGTTCGTCTGCTTTCCCGGCCATTCCTGTTTGAATAACTATGATTTAGAATAAACCAGTTTTGAAGCGTTGGAATTTGTCCCGTGGAGTATGTTTACAAAACCTATCATGTCTTTTGGTAGGGGAGAGTGACGTTGCTGGAAAGAAATTGAGACTTTCAAAATCTTAGCATGCATTATCCTGCTCCTTCAAAAATGCTGTTTTTTTGTGCTTTTATCTTATTAGTCACACTGCTGATCCTAAATCAAATTTGACTATTGAATACTGATTATTATACCGTACTAAGTGTCCAAGTTTCTGACAGGTCTGCTCAACTGGGAGAGGAGCTTAGGCAACTGCTTGTGAAGGTTCATGAACGCTTTCATCAGTTCATCAAGGAAGTGCGTGGAAAAGGTTTGTTCAATGCTGTAGAGCTCAATAGCAAGGCCTTGTCCCCTGTAACGGCATATGATATATGTCTAAAGCTCAAAGAGAGAGGAATCCTTGCTAAGCCAACTCATGATTCTATTATCCGCTTGACCCCTCCTCTGTCCATAAGGTATGGAACTATAATTGCAAGTCTTTTGCAATTAATATATCTATCATTTTACAAGTTTTAAGGTTTCCTTTGTAGTTTTGATCCTTCCGATAAGTCAGTGCACAGTGATCGAACTAGGATTGCTGATTATTCTAGTAATTATGCAGTAGCTGTGTAGTGCGATGTCATAGATGACCTACTCTTCCTCTCTTTTTTGTTATCTTTTATAGTTATTTTTTTCTTTTCTCCATCTTTAAGAAAATGGTGTTGGAGTATGTGCAGTGGCCATATTATCTGTTTTTGGGTTATCTTTCCTTGTTTTATCCTGATTTCAATTATATTGCTGACTCCATAGAAGAGGTGAAATTCACTCGGAATTCTTATATCATTGCAAGAAATTTTGACAAGATGATACTTCACTTTCTTTCCTCATTTAAAACAGAAAACAAAATTGTCTGTGTAGCTCAGGTGGAAGCTTACATATTGACCTGAGATTCATGTGGCACAAATAGTTGATAAATTCTGTTAGATATGACTGATCATATGTTGACGGAGTGTCTACTTGTTTTATTGTCAGTATTGATGAGCTCCGAGAAGGCACAAATGCACTAGAGAATGTGCTTGAATTTGATCTACCAAAGATGCAGAAGGAGAAGCCAAAAACTGAACTTCATACAGCCTCTAGTATCTGTGACCGATGTGGCCGTAACCTGTATGATTCTTCTTAAAATTCATGATATCACGAGTGACTTTTGTTATGTCTCATTTGATATATTTTATTTTGCAGTGGAGCAAAAATTATTTATCTCAACTTGAGTAACTTTATTCATGCTCTCTGTTTTTTTATGATTCTCCTGTGTGACTTAACATGAAGTAATACATTGCAAAGCTATAGTTTATATATTGAGGTTCGAGCTTCATAATCTTTACGTGTGTGCTAATTGTATCTGATACCTGTCATTTCTAGTTCTATGACCCGTACTTTCTTCATTATTAATTGTAAAAAGTTTGCTTAGTGAAAGGATTGCTTGAGAGAGAGAAATAACGTAAAATCTGGCCCTTAAAAGCCGGTTTCTCCATCTAGGGATTTTGTATTTTTGTGATCAATAATCTATTCAAGTATAGAACTGCTTGTTTTTCAGGTTTATGAATATGCAGATGCGCACATAAGGTGGAAACACTATAGTGGTTTTATAGAATATATAATAAGAATTATACCTTTCCTTTATATTATAAAGAAGCAGATGAGGATAACCAATGAGAGGTCTGAAGACCTTTTCGGAATGAAATAGGATCTGGTTTGGTATCCTTAGCCGTATTTCATTATTGGATTATGACATTCTGGTGGAGCTTAGCTGTTATTATCTGCATGTTTTGAAGTTTCTATTCTGACAGAGAAGCTAAAAACTTGTATAATGTCGCGTCGGACAAAATTTATCAGTATTTCTTTTTTAAAATGAATTCTTGTGAAATGTTCTTTCATTAGAATATTCATAATACCAACCATTGGTAGGGAAGCTATGGTGTCATTGTCCAAGAAATGTCAGTACAAAATTCATGACTGAGTATTTTTATCCATAGCCATTGGTTTAAGATTAGATTGACGTCTTTTTCTATGATGGGTAGATTCGAAATATTTGTTCAATTCAGGAATCTTCAAAAACTGGTGTAAAACCACATATTTCTTCTCAATGCATGCTTGGGATTACTTTTTGGACTTGTAATGTTGGTCATCCATGTGTGCAAGTATGAATATTCAAATCATATTGGACATTTTTACTTTTACGATCACTGATCAACTTAATATCATCTATATAAAAAAATTGCGTGAAAGTGATCATGTGAAAAACGATTTCTTTTTTCTTTTTTTGAAAATAAAAAATGTGTTGTTAAAAATGACTAGGGTGATTTTCAAGAGGAAAATTCTATTTGTACATAATTGTATCCATAATGTGATATGGTAATCATCCGGTTGTTAATGTGCAAGTGTGAAATTTGAATTAAATGTTGGATCCAGTGCTACGTGTAATTATGGACACCATTATGTAGATAATTATGTACATGTAGCACTTTCCTTTTCAAGAACTCATTTTCACACAAGCATAATAAAAGAAAAATAAGTTAAAAAGTTTTTTTACATTGTACTCTCAACCATGCGCTAATTGTTTTTGGGCCACTTCTTGCATGAAAGTGTTGTCTTGTCTTCTTCTCCTTGTGTTAATACCTAAGTAAGTTTGCTTTTTCGTGCCTTTAATAATTATAAGTTGATAATGACTTTTATTAGTGCATAGCTTATAAACAAACTATTTTCAATTGCCATTTGCCCATATCTATGAAGATGGAGCCTTAACTTGGAGGACATGTGGGGTTATTGTCTCCCTTTGATTGGCATTAATTGATTGTCAAGAGCCCTATCATTTTACATTATTAAATTTGAAAAGTCTTTTTCAAGATTTTGTAATTATCCTTCTTTTATAGTTGTGGGGATGACCTAAAATTATGAATATGATACGTCTCTTTCAAGATTTTATATAAGGAAGGGAATCTATGAAATATAAGAACGTGTTTGGTTATGCTTAAAAGTCTTATCTAGATAGCTTTTGAGTTTTAACCTACTTTTAATTATGACTCAACTTGCAGTATAATTTAGATGACTAAATTTTAAAAGCAATGTTGATTCTATTTTCTGGTACGGAATTCTTGAAACATGTTAATTTTTTTACTGATCCAAAGAAAAAGGAAAACACATTTCCCCCGGATCTAGGGTTTGCACAATTGCACATGATTCTTGATGCCTAGATGGGATACAAGGTCAATTCAAATCACGATCTAATTAATGTATTTTTAAAGATAACATAACGAAATTAGACCTTCATAATCGTCTTTCAACTCTAGTTTTATTGGTATTGGCGTCGATTAATACACAATTCAATCTTTCGGATTTTTAATTGTTGTACACACCACACCTACGTATGCATATGCTATTGCTCGTATTATTAAATATATTATCATATTTTTCAGACGTACATAACTATAGTAAAATTTTTTTCTTTTTTTAATATAATGGTTGTTTGATAAAGTTTTTGATAAAAGTTAGTGAAATATGTGATGAAAAAGTTAATAAAAGATGTATATTTCAACGCGTGTTACTAAAATTTTATTGCTTGAAATTTATATATTTACTTTCCTTGAGAATATTGTGAACATTATTTCTGCAGGATAGAGATCACAATTAATAATTTTTGAATTATTAGTCATTATTTTCCGTTCATCACTTGTGAACACTGGTTTTGACCCGACCAGTTCCGAATCACCCTAGTGGACCCGAAACGTGACATGCGCCGATGATAGATGTTGACTAAATGTCAAATCTATCACCAAGGCTGACTATGAATTACTACAAAATATACGACAAAATCAAATATTTATAAAAATGTAGTGCAATGGGCCCAAAATTACATCGTGTTTTATCAAATTGACTTATCAATATGTCGTGTAGCTTTAACTCTAAAATCACCAGGCTCCTCAAACTATCAAGGACCAATATTACCTGTAAGAATAATTTTAGGAAAATATGAGTTAACAGCTCGGTGAGTGGAAGAATTCGAAAATAATTATGCTTTCTCATTTAAACATTTTTATCAAACATCAAGTTCATATCATTTAATATTTCACATGATAGCCTCATACGAATATAGACAAAAAGTGAGACATTCTCATAACTCTGTAAATATCATCTCATATTCACGTTATAGTCATCAACTGATATCTATACCATCATCTCATCACATCACATGTGATCCACCAAAAATATACCCTCTGACTAAAATCTGTAATCCGTTACTCAAGCTAAGAACTTTCGTCACAGGCTTTTGGCCCCTCCGTAAACGAAAGTCGGTCTCAAAAACCTCTGGTAATCAATTCTAGAATACGGCCAAGGCCACTCAGTGAACTATATGTACACGGTCGAGACCCTTTCATCCTCAGTCCAAAACCCCTCAGTATAATATAGAACACGGTCAAGACCCCTCAGTGAACTAGAAGAAATATATAAACACGGGTACTTTTCTGGTCAATCTCAAAATCATATCTCATATTTCAATTCACAATATATTGTATACAATCTTTGAAATCCCACATGTATCATAATAAAAGATATTTCCATAATAACCATGTAATCGAACACATAATTGCATATAATTGCACGTACTTTGACAATATACTTAATTTATAAATACTTTAAAGCTATTCACCGAATTATAGGCTTCAAGCTAATTTAGACATTTTGCCTTTCGAATATCCTCACTGCCTCAATCCTGAAATAACAATAAACTTTTATTAATTCAAATTGGTTATGGATTCCCAAATACTCATCTTACTTGTATTCCTCTATTTCTTATTCCTTACTTCTTTTCTAGTTCTTCCTTGTCTAAAAATATATAACATATATAATTGGACAACTTCTATAAACTCCAAACTTGTTCTTTTATTTCACTTCCAATCCACGAAAACACCTATATATTTCAGTAAGTTTCATATTCGCTTGATTGAAACCAAAATCCATCATAAAGCCTTGTTCAAGCTGAAAAGAAGCCTAAAAGAAAAGTCCAAAATTCTTTCTTGATGGTACCCAGACAGCCACTTGTTCACCTAAAAGTCCTCCCATCTACTTGTCTAAAACGAAAATTCCTCCTTACACTAATATAAACCCATATTGTTCAAGTCATTGGGAAATTATGAACACATAATCAATGATTAAAGTCAATAACATCAAACCTATTTCCCATTTAATTCTCGTTTCTCACACTTTCAACCCAAATTCCACTAACTTTCTAATTCTTGAAATTCGGGTATGGATGAAAAACCAAAAATCACACCTCAACTAACACTAAAATAGATAGTCTTAAAACAAACTAATCCCTATAAAATGCTTAACTTTAAACACTAATTCCTTTTTACCTATTGAAATAGAAGAAGAACTGGAGAACCATGAGGTAGAATAGACAATTTCCTTCAATCACCTTGATTGGCCGCCATCTTCTATCTCCCTTTTTCTTTCCCAAATATCCTTCTACCTCTCGATTCTTCTGTGCTCCCCCACAATGAATGGATTTGGTCTAAATTTAACAAATGCAACAATGAAATAATTAATAATAGGACCCCTCAACTCCGCCATAGTTTGCAATTTAAACCTATTGTTTCCATCTGATTTAAAAATCAACAATTATTCCTATAATTAGTTTAGCCCACACAATTCCCACTTGCTTATACAAGTCCCCATAAAATCAATTACTTAATTTAAGTCCTTTTGACTTTGACTTTGACTTTGACTTTGACCAGTCAAACATTTGACTTTAAATAAATAATATTGACCTTTTAACTAGTATGAAATGGGGTGTAATAGGTTTAAACTTTAAAATGAGCCACGCTTGACATCACATTAGACAATGTTACTCTACTCGCCATAGTTTGCAATTTAAACCTATTGTTTCCATGTGATTTAAAAATCAACAATTATTCCTATAATTAGTTTAGCCCACACAATTCCCACTTGCTTATACAAGTCCCCATAAAATCAATTACTTAATTTAAGTCCTTTTGACTTTGACTTTGACCAGTCAAACATTTGACTTTAAATAAATAATATTGACCTTTTAACTAGTATGAAATGGGGTGTAATAGGTTTAAACTTTAAAATGAGCCACGCTTGACATCACATTAGACAATGTTACTCTACTGCGATCTCTAATAAAACATGGATAGTTATGTGAATCTAGGAACGGAATGCACGGATAACAACCATAACTTCGTTACCCAATTGCTACTTAAAAAAAGTTTTCGATCGCACACTGTATTTTAACAAATATTTTTCAATTACTCATTGAATTTTGGTCTCTAGACTTATAAAAATGATGTCGACATGTTGCTTAGAAATATGTGTATCGCAATCGCACACATCACTTATAAAAAATAAAGTGAAAAAATGAGTTCGCGTTGACGATTCCATAAGAACTGATTACTCAATTATATAATAATTAAATTTAATTTTAACAATGAAATACACAATAAATTTAGATTTTTCAAATGATTAAAATAGCTTAAAGTGCTACAAAAATAACGAAAAACATTAACATTCCACAAGATCGACAATTCAAACTCATTTGTCCACTTTATTACTTATATGCAACACGTGCGCTTGTGGGACACATTTTTAAGTGACAACAAGTCGACGTCATTTTTATAAGTTTAGGGACCCAAATTCGTCCACATCAAAGTTCAACGAGCAATTAAAAATATTTTTCAAAACTTAATGAGTAATGTAAGACATTTTCTTATATGGTAATTTGGTAACAGTATGACGGAATGCTACCTGTACATTTCGTTAACCATATCACTAATTTCGTTGAAGGTTTCAAACGGATGTTACGCAAGTGAGTAACATTCAATGTTTGGAATTAGTGGCCAAAATTCAACATTTTTCAATCGAAAATAAATACATAAGTTCAATAATTTTTGGGACAATTAACTCGATTTCTTGTCTCTGTAAGAAAATAATGAACCATATATAAAATATGAATAATATGAAATTACACCCGAAGTGTAAACTGAAGCCCTAATTTTTCGTTCTCCATTTTCATTTTCTCCGCTCTCAGTATTCTGTCTCTCATTTACATTTACACACACTGGCCGTGGATCCATCTTCGCCACCATTTTCCTCCGCAGCCGCCGAGAAACAATTAAGAATCTTGTTTCTATTGTTCAAAGCTGAGATCTTTACCTGTAAAATCAAGAATCTCTCCCCGCCCATGTCTTTCTCAGATCCATGATTTTCACTGAACCTACTGAAAATTAACTACCTATAGACGTATATATACATATATACTTGCGGGAATACATACAGAAGTTGTGAGGATGGGTTCGATACGGCTAGATCTGAGTGGCAAGATTTATCCAGAACCGATCGATCACTTTGACAGGCTACCGGATTCACTCGTGCTCTTGATCTTCAACAGTATAGGAGATGTCAAGGCTTTGGGCCGATGCTGCGTGGTTTCTAGAAGATTCCACTCGCTTGTTCCTCAGGTGGATAATGTCATCGTCCGGGTCGATTGTGTCATCTCCGACGATGATCCTGCCTCCTCTTCCACCTCATCTGGCTATTCTGTCGCCTATAAGTCTCGCAACCCTGTAACCTCTTTGTTTCGCTTCGTTTTCTCTGGTCTCTTTAAGCCGCTTCAGTCATTGACCCAGCTTATTACTTCCTCGACTCGCTGCCACTCAATTTCATCAAATTCAGAAGAATTGAACCTTGATTCTCACCGGAACAGCGTGACTCACCATTCCCCTACTCAGGTCTTGAAGAATTTTAACGAAATTAAGCTTCTCAGAATTGAATTGCCGAGAGGGGAGCTCGGGATTGATGAAGGTATTTTGCTCAAGTGGAAGGCAGATTTTGGGTCCACACTGGATAATTGCGTCATTCTTGGAGCCTCCAGTGTAAGTCAGACTGTGAAAAATAGTGAATTTTCTGGTGCTTGTACTGTTAATAATGATAACAATGGGAACAGCATTGGAGCCGAGAACGATAATGGGAGCATTCCTGAACCATTTTACACTAATGGGGGCTTGAAAGTACGTGTAGTGTGGACAATAAGCTCCTTGATTGCAGCCTCTGCTAGGCATTATCTGCTTCAGCCAATAATAGCGGAGCACAAGACGCTAAAGAGCTTGGTTTTGACGGATGCCGATGGGCAGGGAGTGTTGTCTATGAATGAAGAGCAGTTGGAGGAGCTGAGGATGAAGCCTCTATCAGCTTCCTCAGCTTACAAGAGGACTCTGGTTCCAGCTCTGAACATGCGGTTGTGGTATGCTCCCTATTTGGAATTGCCCAATGGGATGGTATTGAAAGGAGCGACTCTAGTGGCCATCAGGCCTAGTGAGCAGCCGAAGGAGGTGGTGAGGTCAGAAGGAAATTGGGTTGTGTCAGCTTTTGAAGAGCCGTTTGAGACAGCTGCGAGGATGTTGGTGAAGAGGAGGACTTATTGTCTGGAAATGAACTCATTCTGAATTGGGAAACGGTGACTGAGTTTCTGAGGTAATGCCTTTCATAGCGCTTAGTGTAAATTTTTAATTGTTTTATAAATTTATTGTTTATGAGCTTTCTTCTGTATTCAAAAGCCATGGAAGAAACCGTTTGGGATTTCACATTAACTAGCAGAGTTGGTGTTATTGCACTTTATTGTAGCATAGATTCTCCGTAGTTGTCGTTAGTGTGTCGGAATCACATATAAATTTGCTCGGTCAATGTAGTTATATTTATTGCTTAGGGCACAATCTGTAATTCGCCTTGCCCGTGATGTCGCAAATTATGCATCTACTTTTTTTTTCTGATTCTATGATCTACATCTTATGACGATTTTATGTTTCTTGTCGTTTAGCTTTGCCAATATACTGAGGAATTCATTTATTAGAATTTTGATAGCTGATGGCTGTAATTCTGATGTGCTATCCATTGTCTTACGCGTGTTTTAGTTATATTCATGGTGCTAGCGATTTTTGCAATAACAGGAAGCCGCTATTGCATTTTTCCATTTCTCTAACTTTATATCTACTTAATAATAAGTTCTTTGGTTATGCATTTATACCTATTATAGCCTTTGAATTTGGTTAGTCCTTAATCTTTTGTCTCTGGTTTTAGAGAGTGATATTCTTTCTTTGATCTAAAAGTTGACAGCATATTGGTTTCATTAATGAAGTAATCTTGTACTTAGGTAGGTAACTACACTACAAATTGCTCAACTTTTTTATCGTTATCATTGTGGGCCATTATGCTGACTATATTGAATCAAGATCATACTACCATACTTGAATTTTGCGTGCTTTTACATTTGTTCATACAAATCTCTTTGAACATTTGATTACTCAGCATGTTAAATCTCTTGTATGCATGTCATTACAGTTGTTTTGATTATTTCTCAGTTGTAAACTAGAGAACATAAAAACTCACTTCTAGAATATGTGCTGCGACCATATATCATTTAACTAGAGCCAGTATTTTGCTGCTGCAATTTGCTTGCTAGCTTTCACACCATGCAACATTTATAAACCACTAGATAATTTACTTTTTTTGTATATTGTTTTGGAAAAAATGCTTCAAGTGGTCGTCAGCTAATTGTTGAACCAAGGTCAGTTCTTTGCAATCTTCATTTTTACACATGCTAGCTTTGACACTGTGCTGGATCCCTGTCATTTTGCATTTTATAATACTAGTATTAACCCGGAAATTGGTTCTTATGATTATTCGAATTCATCCTTTGGTGTTCATAGGTCTTTCAAGGAAAGCTGAAGGATTGCCTTTTCAACAAAGGAGGATATACTTGTTCTGAGAGGCAGAGAACACCCAATTTTGTCACCTACAGAAGATAATTTTGATTTCCATTACAAATGAATACCAGCCATTTGTTGGTTATGAGCCATAAATCCATCGACCTAAGGTTAAAATTTGAACTGATAGATGATGGCATCTTTTTTTAAGGGTGAACAAAATGCTTCTGGAATATATTGTACAAGCCTTGTGCCAACACTTTGTCATCAACCTTACTAGTTACATATCTGTGTATATTTTAGCTATTGAGATCTTTGCTAATAATGTCCCCTTTTAAGGTTCATTGAGCAACATATCTTGCATTTCAGCTGTGTATTCATGTTAGTTGATCGCTGACAATAAATATGTGAATATGGCAGACATCTTGTTTAAAAGTAATTTCTCGACTCTGTTTGGGGAGGATTCTGGTAGCATATGCTACGTGCTTAAAATGAATGCATCGAGATACTTGTATGTTTGAGCAGTGTTAAATTGTTAATCAGTTGTAGATTTTCATCATTCCAATACTAATAGATTAAGGTTTACTTTGTAAGAATATCGTGTCCCATTTTCCTCTACGTGCCTAACGTGGGAAGAATCAATCCAAGAAATGAAGCGAAACAGCTCATTCCAAGTGATAATGGGCTATTGTTAACTACTGCAGCGATCGGTGCACTGTTGTTTCTTGGGGTTAGGTGCATTGATTTTTTCTATTAATGCTGATAAAGGACGTATGGTTTCTAGTTCCTTAAAAAAGTGAAGTTCAGATCTTCCAGCCATGTCCTGTGGATTTGAACAATCTAGGCAATTTTTTCAAGGCCTAGCAAGTTGAATCTCCCTCCAAAATGTTCATAAATCAATACCAAGTGACAGATTGGCTCTCCACTGGAGAGTACTCAATAAGATTAAGAAAAATAACTAAAAATTTTATCCGCTGTCTTGTGTAATGAAATACACTAGCGAGTTCCACAAATGTGTGCCTGCAAGATAAGCGTTGGAATTGTGCACATGCCAACCGAAAAGCACAAATGAAGGTGGAAGGAAACACAAATGACTGTAAACAAAATTTCGGGATCGCATCAAATCAACAAACCAGCAACCACAGCCACATTTATCACTCGCATCAAAAAGATATTATCTAATTCTATCCAATTCTCTCTACAAAACATGTCAATCATGTATTTGTAAATGAAGATATTGATCAAGAATAAATAACAAATACAAAGGTAAATGTTGCTAAAAGAAAGCTGAGGAATCTTAAAAAGAACATTGGGATTCATTCATCCAACTGATTCAAATTGTTGTTTTTTCCAAAACAGTGATAACAAGGAGTTCAAAACACAAGCAAATATTGGGGAAAAAAAGAAACTTGCAATCGCTACATATTATCTCTCATCACAGGCATGAGAGCTGGCGCTTAATTAACAAATAAGCCGAATACATGAATGCCAGCAGAATTACTTGAAAATGGACAATTGTGAGTAATAATTTAACAACAGAAAGTCTGCTGCAAAGAAACCATGCTCCAGCAGGGACTTATGGCAACTTCTCGAGTTACCTGCATCCAACATCGTCTAAGATTAAACAACATATTGACAAGATTTTAGCTTCTTCATTTTCTTTTTTTTCCTTTTTTTTTTTTTTTTTTTTGGTTCCTTAGATACAAATACTGTCCAATTATATATATAGTCCTACTTGTATAGTTATGGAGCCTAATTAAGATTTTGTACCGCCATCAAAAAGAGAGAAGTTAAAGAAAATAACATGTGCGAGTTTTCTCTTGTAAACTTCTTTTCATCACATTGAGGCGAATCTCTATGAATCTTTGCATGTTCTTGTGTATATATTTTTTTTATGTGCTCTTAACTGAATTAGGGATTCTAATTCTCGACTCAGCTTAGTGAAGTAAACATAAGTAAATCGTTCACGTGTTGAATAGGCAAATAATTAAACTGAGATCCACTTTCTTAAGTTAATTAGTCACTGTAGTTAGGTAGCAGAGGTTTAACATAAAGAATATCCCTTAGCCAAAAAGGGAAACAGAAAATCGAAGCAATGAAGAGCATGCTCGACTAAGATTAAAAGTAAGTCTAATTCACTTTTAATTGTACAAATTTGTTTCATAACATGTTCAGGTCTATTGATTTTTCTGACAAGTAAAATCAGAACTAATAAGTATTAGGATACTATTATTATTGTTTCTAGTTCTATTAGAAATACGTTTGATTGAGATGATTTTTATGAATATTTTTTTTTTATCTTTTTTGTGAATATTTCTTGTTTTAATTTACAAATTATCAAAAAAGGACGTGTATATGTTGAAATTTCTTGCTGAGGATATATTTCTAAAAACAGCTTTCAATGGAAATTAGATAGATATTATTAGGCTTAACTATTTCCATTAATTTGAGAAGATTCATTATGAGTGTTTTAATCAATTGAGATTAAAGCTTTATTCAGTAAAATATTACTTATAAATGCTGTGAGGCACTTAAAAAAAATTGATAATTTGATCATATAAACATCAAAATTTTAAAAGAAAATTTGTTATCCACCTAACTAGGAACGGTGGGAAATTGGCAAGGTTTATTCATTTGTTCACTGTAGTTGGTCAAATGATGTTTCGACTTCGAAAATAAATAAGCATATATACATTCGGTAGACCAAAATTAGTGTAGTCGTTTATCTTTCAATGCACGAATTAAGGATAAATATTCAACAAATGTATGTGCAAGTATCTATTTTGAAAGTAATGTAGCAATTACTTTGAAAATGAATTACTTATTCTTAATATCGATTAATACAGTATATTTTAGTTAAGTACTTATAATTAAACTTACTCATAAGCGTAGCCAAAACATGCTATGACAATCAAACCCTAAAACCTGCTTAGACTCATCCAAAGCCAGGTGTTAAGCTTCAGGCCCAGTTTCCTATCTAATGGGTGCAGAAGAAACAAAAAGATTCTCGACATTGGACAGTGTGACTAAAAGATTTCGTAGTATACATATGAATTATTCGACTAATATATAGATAATTGTACAAATTAAGCCATAATATGTGCGCGTTTTGTATCGAATAGTTCTGATAGCTACGAATTAGGGCTTATCCAACCAATGCTAAGTGGTCTGTATTGACGCACAGACCAATATCTTCTTTGTATAGAAATGTAAGAGAGAAGGGAACCCAGCAAAGAGACAATCAGCCGAACCCTATTCGCAGTTATCTATGTAACATCATTAAACAGACAACACAATGGAAATGTCTGTTAAAATATATGCACCTATGGCCATACTTTTTGGGAAACCAAGAAATGAAAGTGTTCATTGTAGTGCAACATGATTCCTTAAAAGTTAACACCAAAAACAAGCCCTCAAATCAATGTGTAGGTAATGAATCAGATAAGCACAAATGTAATCCAGATGTTATTATAAGGTATTCAAAGTTTTACCTGGGACAAGTTCTAGTTCTTTCCTTTGCTCTCATGGCCGGTATGCCTGCTGACACCATGAGCGCCGCCGCTGCCAGGGTACAACTGGAGTCCGGCATCGAAACCGGCCAGGAAATGGTGGTGATTCTGCACAGGTAGAGCAACAGGGCCGGTGTAGAAACTTTGTGATCCATGATCAATTGGTGAAAACCTGTGGAGGGGAGGAAATAGAGACGAAGAATTGGACTGAAGGGTCCCCCGATTGAATCCGGCAAGGCCGGAAGTAGAAGAAGACGGCGACATTGTGAAGTCGAGATTGTACTGGTTCTGACTATTATTGTTTTCGTTACGCCTAGCAGAAGGGAGAACTGAGACGAGTTGATCTGGGAGAAAAGAGAAGTGGTGGAGCTCGGGGTGGTCACCGGCCAAGCTAAACAGCGGTGAAGACGCTGACGTTAGGGGTGGAGATAGCGGACTTCCCATGAGCATCTGCCCTGGCCGAGTTACCACGGCCGGGCCTAATAACCCACTCGTAAAGTAATCCATATGACTAGTCGTGCTATTACTGCTCACATTATTGATGCCTGCACTTAAGAGCTCGGTGAAAGAAGTGTTTTGGGAAATAGGGTTCATATGAGTAATTTGGGATGACTCGTTGTCTTTCTCCTTCTCCTTTTCTGCTACTCTCTCCTTGGCACGCTCTCTGGCTTTGACCCTATTTTCAGATCTGGACAGCGACAACCCGGAACCCTTGCTGGTTTCAGAAGTACTACTACAAGGTGTCATATGTTGGAAATTCGGAAGGCCGTCACCGTCAATTTCATCAAACCGGTGCTGATAGGCGGCGTCACCAGTGCTGGACTTCTCCGTCGGCTGCTTAAGGTTATTGTCTTGAAATGCAGTAGTTATCGGAGGGAGCTCCGAGATGGATGTGGCCGCCGCCTTCAGCAGCCACTCTATGGCCTTGCTAGGCTGATCATATCCTAGCCGATCCTGCAAATCGTAGAATTGAATAGCAGTACTCACAGAGAGGCGTACACGGCGGTCCCTTGGACCTTTCGAGGTCAGAACTTTGCTGTGACGATCTTTTCCTCCGGAAGATCGGGAAACCCTCACGATTCTCGAGGAAGACCATCCGTAAATCCTACCAAGTCCGCCACCACCAGTTAGATCGACTCCACCGACGCCCCTTTTCTGCTCTCCATCTTCATCGTCTTTATGAGTCAGCCCTAACTTTGCTGAATCAGGCCTCCCATTACTTGCTCTTGAAAACTTACAGCCATGAGCTTGAATCTCATCCACCTCCATGCCACCACTCTCATACCTTATCCTCAACCCCTTTCTTCTTCCTTTTTCACTCAATAAATGAGACAGGTTTTAATGAAGACTGAATTTCTCGCGCCAGGGTTTTAGAGAGAGAAAGAGTAAACTCTGAACAGTGGGGGTGCAGTTGGGGTGTGGGTCTGTGTCCTTCGCATTGATGATGATTACACAGATAGTACTTTGGCTTTTGTAATGACATATACATACAACGTAGATATATATATAGAGAAGATGAGAGAGAGAGGGAGAGAGTAAAAAGGCTTTTTCTACTGTTCCATAAATCACGTTCCGCAACAGAGAAAGGTCAGAAGGGGAGAAGTAAAAGGGGATGGCTCAAGCTTTTTGCAGTGATGATAAGTAAAAAACGAAAATGAGTTCGGAATTCTCTTAAACATAAAAAAGTCCAACCTTTCTTGCAAGAAAATACAAAAGAAAAAGAATCAGATTCTGAGAAAAAAAAAAGTTTAAAGAAATAGTCGTGATTAATAAGTAAGTAAAATGATGTAATAGAGAATGTTGTATGGACAAGAGAGATAAAGTCATGGACGAACAGATAAATACCCGATACGTTTTGTTTTGTCAGTAATTTTATTAATTTATCCTGTTCCATCGATACACTAGAGTATTTAGTTAAGAATTTTGACATTTCAAATTTTCTTTCCATTCGATCTCAGTATTCAATGTTCATCAGCTAAGTTGTTGGTCAAGATCAAAACTAAACATTCTTTAGCGAATCAATGAATCATGATTGTTACTTCCAATAATTTTAGGTTTGATCATTCCTGGTTTCTCACCATGTCACTTATTCTGGCATGTTTGGTTTACTTGGAAAGAAAAAGCTTCTTCCCTCTATTTTCTACCGTGTAACTCTTCATAATGCACAAAACATGCTAACTTCAAAGCTATTCTTTTACCAGCAAAATTACTTCTGTGCACTTTTTCAGTAGAGCCAAACACAATTGCTTTTTTAACTTTACTATAAGATTTGGAGACAATTGGATAAAGGTTACACAGATAAGAGGTGTAGTTGCTGGTAATTAATGGCAAGTGAGCATAATCTGTAAATCCTTTAATAGAATTGCAGATATTATTCTCTGCTCAAGGACAACCACAAAAATAAATAAATAGATAGATAGAAACTCCAATTATAGTATGTACACTCAGGCATCAAATATTTTTTTGAGGCAATTTAATTTAGAGTGAAGGAATTGATTAATCCTTAAAGTCCGTATCAACTATCATGGAGCGGATACATGACAGTATTTTATCAAAGGATAATAAAGAGCTGTCAAAATTTTGAGTTGCTCAATGTCTTAACTTGCTTAGTTTGATCAAATGTCAAGTTGAATCGAGGAATAAGTCACCAACGTGTCGACATGGAGTTGATGCATAATTCGGAGTTCATTTTAACAAAAATTAGCACTAATCTAAAAAGAGGAATTTCGCCTAAAAATTAAAATTTCTTGAAAAAAACAAATTAAAAAGGCACTAGAACAAGAAGAGGAAAATGAAAGGGAGTAAAACTTTTATCCGAATTTCCAGTGGCTTTGCTCCCTTATTTCCCTACTTTTC